CAGGGGGCCGGCAGGAGGTGGAGGGAGGGGCATACCCGCCTGGGTCCTCAGGGCTGTGTAGAGCAGCTTGCAGGCCTGCAGGAGCCGCTTGACCTGGGCGCTGGGTGAGTAGGCGCGAAGCAGCTGCAGCAGCTTCTGGCGCACCTGTTCCATCTCTACTGGGGAGGGCAGGCTTAAGTGGGACCCGAAGACTCCAGGACCTTGGACTCGGGCCAGGCGGAGGCCCTCAGCCAGGCGGCCCAGGGAGCCATTGGCGGAAAGCCGGCGCCTAAGGCGGGCCACCAGGATGGGCCGTAGAGGCTTGAGCACAGAGCGATGCAGGGACTTCTCCAGGATGCGTTCTGTGGGGGAGAGGCAGGCAGGGGTCAGGGAACCAGGGCGGGGGTGGGGGCTAGTTCTTGGGAAGGAGCGGCATGACCAGGGAGGGAGAAGGATGGAAAAGAGGAAGAATCTTGGTGACATGGGAGAGTTGGGGGAGACGGGCAGTGGATGGAATTGATGTGAATGGTGATGAGACAAGGTGGGTTTGTAAAGCGGTGAAACAGACTCAGAGAGACAGGCTGGCACTGTGGAGAGGTGGAAAGTGGAATGCGGAAGAGCTGGAATTATGGAGACAAGCTGAACCAGCGGAGCTCTGAATTAGAGTCTTACCTAGCCGTTCAGGGGGCAGCAGCTTCTCAGGGCTCAGCTCCGCACTCAGCATGGCCCGGGCCCGGCTCAGTGCCTCACGGACACCCTGCAGCTCCCGGGGCTCTGGGCTGGCCCGCACCTGGGTCAGTAGGTCCTGCACCAGCTGGCCCACGGCCGTGTGCCGGTCCTGCATCAGCGCTGAGGCCACCCGGCCCACCTGCCGTTCAGGTGCCAGCAGGGAGCAGAAGGCAGCGCTCATGGACCGAAGTAGGGGCCGCCGGCGGCCCAGGCAGGGTGAGGTTGCTGGGCTCCCCTGGGACCCTGGTACCCCCTCCTCCTCTGAGCTGCTGGGAGAGCCGCAATCCACCTCCTGGAGGGAAGGCAGTGGTGGGAGGCTGGGGCCGGTGCCCCCAGGCACACGGTACCCCACTGAGCTCTCCCTCCGCAACAGCTGGCGAGGGGGCAAACTTTCTGTCTGGTTGGGGGCTGTCCCTGGCAGCACTGGGACTGGGGGAGGCGGCACAGCTGGGGGGGACAGGGGACTGGAGGACTCTGTGGACACGCGCACTTTGAAGCTCCTCTTGAATTTCTCCCGCTTGGTGGGACCCAGGTCCCCTGGGAACAGGGGGTTGAAGAAGCACAAGGCAGCTCCGGTGCCCTGGTCCAGCTCTTGCGGGGACCGGGCTTCAGTCGGGGCAGCAGTGGACCTTCAGATGGGCCTAGCTGAGCCTTAGTGTTGAGGGAAGAGCTCCAGAACTCTAGGGAAGAGAAGCCGTTTGGGGCCTCGGGGTTCCGGAAGGGTGCCCGATGGAGGGAAAGGTACAGGCTTCAGGCTGTGCGCTTACATGCCTCCCCCTTCCCTCTTGGCCTCAGCTTGTCCATCTGTGCAATGGGTAGCAGGGGCATGCTTACCAATGCCCAAATGGGAGATGGCTTCCAACTCCTTGTGGGTGGCTGCCTGACGGATGGCTCTGGGGAGCTGAAGCGGGAGGAGAAGGATGTCCCTGAGGCCAGAGAGGGGAGCAGTAAGTCAGGGGTGAAGGAAGAATGCTTCAGGCTGCCGGCACTGAGTGGGACTGTCGGGTGGGGAGGACAGGGTGTCCCAGGGAGCAAGGCTCTATGGACAGCAGGTGCCCTGTGGGCAGGCTCACCGGGTGTGGCAGTAGGCACAGATGAGCTGGATGAGGTCCAGGAACACGAGTTCTGAGCCCTCCAAGGAGACGCCTGAGAGACGGATGGGCAGTGAGGTCGTTCTCTGGGGAACCCCCTCTGCGTCCTGCCCGGATGGCTTCCAGCCCCTTCCCGCCAGGCCAGTCCCTCTCACCCCCAGGGTTCTCCTGGATGCAGTGGCTGGAGACGAAGGAGGGGCCACTGGCCTCTGGCAGCCGCACGCACAGGGCTTGGCACTGGCGAGTGTTAGATTTCCGCACCAGGAACGTCTGCGAGTGGACAGGGATCCGAGGGTCAGGACCTCCATGTCCAGTCCCTCTCCCTCCCACCCTTAGCCGCCAGGACCCAGGGGTGGGGAAAGACTCACCCCCGGGGGCTCAGTCCTCAGCACATGCAGTGCAGCCGCGGCGTTGGCCCTCAGCTGCAGCCAAACAGGCTGGGTGAGCAGCAGGCGCTCCCGCAGGCTCACGGTGCGCCCGGGCCGCTGGGGCCTAACTGCCAGCCTACCACCGGCATCAGGCACATCATACAGAGGGTCCTGGGCTGGCCTAGGGGCGGGCACCAGACCTGAGCAGGGACCCAGAGGCTGGGACCCTGACCTAACCCTCTCCCCCTCCTTTGCCCCAGGAGAGACCCTGCTCTGCCATCCCTCCCTGCCCCATCGGGCTACCCTTCCAACTTCACTAACTTTTCTCTCTCTGGGTGTTCAGGCAAGAAGCTGGTTCGGGTGGGGGCTCCGAAAGGGTCTGCTCCTGGCTCCCCAGGGGTTTCCATGGCTGGGAGCTCCTTCGGTTTCTCCTGGAACTCAGGAGGATAAGCCAGCCCCCAAGGCAAAAGCACTCACATTCCCAGTGGTGAGTAACACTTCCTGAGGGCGGTTCGCCCTGTCACACCCGACAGTTAACTCTTGTGTGCCCACTCAGCCCGGGCAGCGCCTGCTCCCTCTGTTCTGCGCCCAGCCTCTAGGGGCAGGGAACCTCTCCCTGCAAGTATCACTCAGCATTCCGAGGGCCCAGCTGTGGGGCTACCACCTTCACGCTGTATGTCCTGCAGCCTTGCCAGCCCCCTCGAACCATACAGGTGGGCAGGAAGGGGTTAAGCAAGGCCCATCAATGTCCCTACAGGCCCAGACCTCGCCCTTGGGGCACCTTTAAGTCTGTGGTCAATTGCTCATCTGGTCATGGCCCTGTGGTCAGCCTATGGGAGAGCGCCCCCTACTGTTTAAAAGTGACTTATTCCTGAGCCTAACTTGGGTTTTGGGATTTTAGGTTGCCATGGAGAAGGGATGCTGTGTCTCCATGGAAACTAACCCCTCTGCTTAACTGAGGTTCTGGGGGTGGTTCCAACACTCAGTGCTAAACAGGGGGGAGTCTGGCTGTGAGGTCGTCAGCACATGGTGCTGCTGATGGCTGCCTCCCACGCGCACAGGCCCTGCCAGCCTGCCTCACCAATCTGCCAAGCTACTGGGGCAGGTGCAGACATGACCCAGTCTCCAAGCACCAGGCACCCAGCCCCCTTCCCTGCCCAAGGCCACGTGTTCAGCCTGTGCCACATGTTGCTTCAGACTCTGCTCAGCAGCACCAGGCAGTCCAGGGCCCAGCACCCAACCTCTGTGGGGGTGAGGGGTGGGAGAACACCCCTTCCCCAGCCTATACCCCAAGTCAGAGAGGGTAGGCTCCTGCTAGGTAGTGAGAGGAGGTACCAGGGACTCCAGAGGAGACGGCCTATCTCAGGCACTCCCCATGAGAGCCCAATTCCCTTGCAAGGTAAACCAGACACAAGCAGGTCATGCCCTAGGAAAAGCTTTAATTCCATTCTCTGAAACCTGGGAGGCAGGCACCAAGGCCTCTTGAGAAGACCTGGGGAGCCTGCCTTCTCACCTCCAACAACAGGCAGGACACACAGGCCCCCCCAAATATAATTTCTGGCTCACAGTTCCTGCAAAGCGGAGCCCAGCTCACTGGCTCGGTGACTAGGGAGCCAGGTCCAAGGTCAGCAGAAAGGATGTTGCTTTGGCTTCAGACCAGGCAGGTCTCTGTCAGGGAAGGCTCTGAGGAAGCTGACCTTTGGGAAGTGGGGGGGAGGGCTGGTTGGGGATAGGGGAGACAGTCTTGCCTGGCTAGGGCAGCTCCAGGCTGAAGCTGTACAGGCCCCCGAGGAGGGTCAGAGGAAGAGTCCAGACCGGTGATGGCTGGAGAGGAGGGCCCAGCAGCAGCACCAGAGCTAGCTTGGCAGACCTGAAGGCCCTGGCAGTCTGCTTTTCTGCAGCGGGAAAATTCGTATCCTGGGTTTGATGCCAGCTGCTCCAAGGGGCCCCCTGGCTGTGAACAGCAGGGTCAAGGTCCTAGGGGTACACGGGAAGGGAAAAAAAAATCACTGCAGGTGAGAGGAAGCTGAACCAAGAGGGAGACAGGCACTTCAACTAGGGGGACGAGAAGGGTAGCCTCAGTCCAGCCCAGAGCAGGCGAGGCCAGAAGAGCACAGGTCAGCCCTTCAGCCCTCATCCACAGGCCTCCCTGGTACTCCAGGCCCACCAGGGCCACCCAACTGCTGAGGTTCAGCATTCCAGCCCTTCCTAGGCAGTTCTGGTGGTGGTGGTGGTGGTGGTGGCAGTGGGCCATCTCCCAGTCCCGTCAACCTACAGCTTCCCCACCCCTACCCTAACTCCCACAACGTCCTCAAACCCAGACCGTCCTCACTCTCAGGTCACTGATCTGACGTAGCCCCTGCCTCCCCTTGGGCTCTCTTCCTGGAGGCTGGGCCAGGGATGGGGCAATGGGAGGCAGAACACACCAGGGGTTCTTACCATCTGATTTTCTCTTCTGAGGGGACACAGCCGCCCTTGCCTGGGTGGGTAGAAGGAAACCCCCCTGAGAGCCTGCCTCCAGCTAGGTAAGTCCCCCCTCCACATCTGCCTCTCTGGGGTTGGGGGCACAAGACCCCGTCTAGGCAAAGGTCTGCTGTGCTCTCCTGTAGAGGCCCAAGCAGCCAGGCTGCTGTCCTGCCTTCCCTCCCTCCCTCTTCCCGCCCTGTCCCAACCTGCCCTGGAACAAGGAAGGGGCTGATGCAGACCAGCTCTGTCTTCCAGGGCGGTCCCAGGCAAACAGTGGCTTGTGAGCTCACAGCAATGCCAGGGAACCTCGGCAGAGGGTGCCGAGGTTCTGAGCAGAGAGCCCTCAGGCCCTCAAGAGAGTCCACACATGGAGAGCCTGCAGAGGCCAAAGGTGGTGTCTGGCTGGGGGTGGGGGGTACACTGCCAAGCCCCAACCTGAGAGAAGCAGCACTGGACCCACCTTTTTGATAGCCGTCCAGTCCTCCAGGATGTCGATCTCCTGCAGCATGTACACGATGTAAGGGCCTGCAGCAGGGGTCAAGGAAGCAGGAGGCCTGGCCAATGGGGCAGGTGATGGGCCTCGGCCTGGGAGCTCCAACACTCAGGAGAGGGGTGCCATGGACAGCAGGGCAGGAACCCGGTTACAGCTTGGGCTCCACCTACCTCTTGGCCCTCAGATTCTTGGTGGGGTGGGGGTAGCATCGCTATGGCCTACTCTACCCCTCCAATCCACGGGGGAGTTCCGAGCCCCAACCCTACCACCCTTTGGCTCCCCTCACCTCCTCTCTCTGGTCTCAAGGCCAGAAGGCCCAGGCCCATCCCACTCACTCAGAGATCTTGTTCTTTTCTCATCAGGCCCCTTTCCCCATCTGCAAAGGGACCCTACTCTCTTTTATCCTGAAAACAATCCTCCTTTGGTCTCACACTCCCCTCTGGGGACCAGCCACTCTATCCATGACATCTCCACACCCTCACCTCCCATTCGCCCCTCAAGTCCATATAGTCCAGACTCTTCCCTCCCTGCTTGAACCAAATTCCCATCACCAGGAGATGGTGATGCCCTAAGAATCTGGTTGCTGCAGGAATACAGGCAGGGGTGGGTGGGGTGCACGTGAGAATTCAATTCAACTCAACTCTGTGCTGGGAGTGAAGGCACCTCAGGCCCCAGACTGAAGGGGCTCACACCTGCGGTGGGGCAGAGGTAACTACTCCCAGGTGGGATGCAGGTGCCCCAGTGTAGTTTAGGTACTAAACAGGGGTGCAGAGGAGAGAGAAGCCTTAGCCATCCGGGGGAGACCAGGAGAGGCTTCATGGAGGAAGTAGCAACTGAGATGACTGAACAGGTAGAAGGACGTCTGAGAAGGTGGAATGTCAGCAAAGGAATAGGGGTGGGAAAGCCTGGGACATGCCCAGGATGTCATGGGAAAGCCAGAAGGGCCTCAGAAGAGACCTCACTCAGGAAGTTATGGGGGAATCTCTGGACAGATGTTTCTACTTTTCTACAGTCCATGGAGCCCAGGAAAGGTCCAGGGCCCCACAAAGTATCCCTGATAGCTAGACTTGCCTGGACAAAGCACAGGATGCCAAGTGACCATAAATAAGTCTGGTTTGCCTCTGCCTTCCATGTTCCTCCACCCGCCTCCACCTTGACGTCCTGCCGAGCTCGGGCCACCGTGGGTAGAAGGATACCAGAAACCAGAGGCGCCTTCTTCCTCTTGCTGGGTGGCAGGGAGTCCCAGGTCTTCGAGCTGCCTCTGGCGTGCAGTTTGTCATCCCACCACTCTGTGTCCCAAGACCAGAGTCAGGATCAGGTGCTGGCCCTTCCAGGACACCCCCACCTTGTAGTCTGTGTTCCTCACATGGGCCAGGCCTGCTCTCCCCCATCACCCACCCCCAGGGCGGTAGAGAGAACCCTGGCCTTGGGGTTGGAAGCTGAAGTCAACCCTGGGGAAGAGGTCACTGTGCTTTTGTGAGCCTCAGTTTCTTCATTTGTTTCGTGGATGGTGGCGTGATGACAATTTCTCCCTCCCCAGTGCCCTGCGTGAATGTAGGCACTGTGGCCATGGCATGTGTGGGTGTGTCACAATGACACCTCCTGTTCTAGAAAGAGAGCAGGGAGCGGGGGACCTGCTCTTCCTGAGCCCCATGGTGTGCCAGGCTCTGGGCTGGGCCCTTCTCCGCTTGCTTTCATTCAGTCCCCACAGCGACCCCTCAAAACAGGTCCTCTTATAATCCCCTGTGCAGGCAGGGAAGCTGAGGTCCAGACCGGGGGATGGGCACTGACAGGGCAGGGCCCGGGGCAGGGGCGGGCCGGCCCTTTGCCTCACCGGAGCTGATGTCCAGGCTCTGGCGGTCCTCCTCCAGCCTCTGGATGCGCTCCTGCAGCTCTCCCTGCAGGGTGTCGTAGAGCAGCAGCTTCTCGCTCTGGAAGAGCGGAGCAGCTCAGCCAGGTGGGACGGCGCCCATTTCAGCCCTCCCCCACCAGCTCCCTGGCACAGTCACCTCCAGGTGCTGCTTGGCTCCCTGCAGCTCACACTCATACTTGTTCCTGATCACATCCAGACAGAAGCCCTTGTAGATCCCTGTGGAGGGAGAGGGGTGGGAGGCCCTGCTTGGCCAGGGACCCAAGAGCCCAAAAAGGGGGGCTAGGAGCACAGATGAAGCAGGGCAGGGGTGAGGGAGGAAGGGGACAGAGCGCCACAGGTTCTGGTTGGGGGACAGGGCACAGGACAGCCCACAGACCTGCCACCTGAATGCGGATCTTGAGGCTCCGCTGCAGCCCCCCGAGCGGCTCCGTGTACTCGGGTGCTCTCTCCGCTCCCACCTCCTCCAGCCGCACCCGCAGCTGACTCAGCCGTTCCCTGAACAACCTGGGAGGTAAAAGGCAGTCACGCACCCCTGTGCTCATCTGTCAAACATGGGCCGAGTGCCTGCTCCACGGTGGGACGGGTGTTAGGCCCTCACTGGCTCTGGGCCCCTGCCAGCCCTGTCCAGCACCAGGCCTGCTGCTGCCTGGAAGCCCGGCCCCAGGGTCCCTAACTCACTTCTCCTTCAGCTCGGAAAATTGCTTCTCCAGGTCCAGCATTTCACTGACACACTCGCTGCGGCGCCGCTCGTAGTCCTCATCGTCCATCTCTGCGACAAGAGGCCGGTCAGGGCCGGCTGGAGGGGAGCGGGCGGGGAGCACAGGCGTGTCAGGGCTCACCTGAGCTCTCCTCCTCGGATTCGGTCTGGCTGCCGCTCCGTTCCTCCTCGCTCTCCTCCTCCTCCCCATTCATCTCAGCAGCTGAGTCGCCCTCGGCTTCCATCTCCTCTGTGTCTTTGCTTGGAGGCTGGACGGGCATCTGGGCTGTGGGAGAAGGAGTGGAGCCATCACTTGCCACTGCCCACAGCTCCGTGCGGGAAAGTGGCCACTCAGGGAGTCAGACCACACCTAAATGCAGACGGGGACAACTGGGGAAGTGACTGGACTCGCCACACCCTGAGCACACGCACAGGTTGGGTGGGGTGGGTGCAAGTGACCCTGTCTGCACATCTCCCAGAAGCCTGGGAGCCAGGGAAGGCCCATGCCCTTGGACGTGGTTGGTGAGCCCATTCTGGGATACTGGCCAAGGTGATGACTCATAAGATGGGAAAGGCCAAGGGCGGGCTCCTCACTGCCTAATGGGACTGGCCCAAATTCTGACCAGGGCTTTCAAGGCCCTGCAGAGACCAGACCTGCAGAGACCAGACTTGAACTCCAGCTCCTCCACCCCACCATCTAATGGTCAGTTCTCAAATACACCACGTACTTCCTCCCCAGCCCCCGCCACTCACTGTGCTGTTCCTTCTGCCTATAATCCCCTCCACTTCTCTTCCTGAGAACACTACAATGCTCTTGTCTTCTCAGTCTGCTCAGACCCTATCTCTTCCTGCTTCTTCTAAGATGTCATCAGTGCTCCCCTCTCTCCTGCATCTTCAACTCTCCCTCTTGACAGCTCCTTCCCGTGAAACCTTAGACATACCCAGCTATTTCCCACTATACAGAAAAAGCAGAAACACAAAACCTCACCCTATTCCACTTACCTGCCCCCTGTTTTCCACCTCACAGCTACTTTTCAAGGCCTTGTGGACACTTGCTATTCCTACCCTTTCACCTCCCACTTGTTCTGATCTGTTTCTGTATCATCACTCTTGGCTGAAACTGATCCTGTAGAGTTAACCGACGACCTCCCTGTACCTAATGCCGATATTTTTGAGTGCTTATCTTAGACTGACTTATCAGCAACATTGAACACTGTTAAGCATTCCTTCTTTTATTCATTTAATATTTCCTGAAAATCTAATATACACTGGGTAACATCAGATACTATGGTAGGTACTGTGCACAAGTGTGACCGACAGACATAGTCTCTGACCTCAAGGAGCTTACAAGTTTCTGGGAGATAGAGGCCAAGAAGCAGATCATTACTGTGTGGTGAGAAGAGTTAGGACCAGGGGCATATAGGATAGTCATCTAACTGGAACCTGGAGCTTGTTGCAGCAGCAAGGGCTTGCAGAGGAAGATGGACCAGGCAGATGAGCTGAGGTGGTTGAGGGAAGGAGCATTCCAAGTCGAGTGAGTAGCATGTGTAAAGACCTTGAAACGAGAGAAGGGGCAGGTTGGGGCACATGGGTCTAAGCCTCAGAGAGAAATCTGGGCTGTAGAGATCAGGTCATCACATACAGTGAGTTATGCAGGTCTTGGGAGAGGGTACAGCAAGGCAGAATGCGTGGAGTGAGAAGAGGTTCATGATGAACTCCCAGGGTCACCAAAGTGGCAGATGATGAGACCCCAGAAAAGGAAAAGGAGATTAACAAGAGATGGAGGAGGAAAAACTCAAAGCAGGGGGAGAGAGAATTTCAAAATGAAAGAGAGGTGACAATGCCAAATGCTGCCAAAAGATTACCCAAGAGGAAGACTAAATAGCCTTCTCAACAGATCATCTCTTTGCCTACTAGGGTCTTCTGTTTCACTGTGATGTTCTTCTCTGGGCACTTCTGTGTTGTCCTTTAGATCCTTGTAGACATCCTTCCTTATTTCTCATGTCTATGTCTCCCCAGTCAGTCTGTAAGCCTCACCAGGGCAGGGCTACACATGTGCTTTATGCACCTAGCACAGTACTGACTCACTTGATGACTGGAGGATTTGCAAATACAAATTAAACAAAATAAACTTTTGCAGGGCAGGGATTAGGCTTCAACTTCTAGGTAGCTTCTGGCCTCTGTGATGGTAGAAAACACCAACTCGAGTAAATTAACTGGTCTAGAAGACAGTTTGGAAACATTTCTCAGTGATTTCATGAGTTACCTGAATCTAATCTCGGTTCGCCAAACTAGCCTCATCCTCCCCATTCTCAAGCCTCAGTTCCTGCAGTTTAGAAACTGCAATTCCTCTTCAATGTTAAATATATTTACTTTGTAAGACGCAACAGTAGGTAAGTCCTACCTTTCAGGACCAGAAAGGGCGGTCTCTCCAGCTGTCTCTGAGTCTACTGAGTGACCTAAATTAAACCACAACCTCCCCTCTTTATCCTGGGTACAAAAAGAGGGTAATCATTGTTACTCTGACTGTTGTAAAGACTGCATGCAGTAAGGGATGGAAAAGCAAATCATAAGGCGCTGTACATATGCAATTTATCTTCTCAGAAAGTAAGCATGTCGAAAGCAGTCCTCTTTGGAAAGAAGATTCTTCCCTACCCTCGAAGAAGCCAACCCAGCCCCTCCGCGGCGTGCCGAGAGCCTCCCGCCTGGCTCCATCTCCGTAGGTGCCGGCGCGGGCAGGAGAATCACTGGCTCTTCCGCGGCCAGCTTCGGTCCCGCGGCCTTCGCACGCGTCGGCCGGTTTAGGCGCCGCTTCGGCCTTGGAGATTGGGCCGGCTCCGACCGACTGGCCGGAGAGAGTGAACCAGGCACCAGAGTTGGCGTTACGCACCAGAAGGGAGTGAGGCCTCCGGCTTCACTTCCAAGACTCCCTGAGAGGTGCCGGAGGCTGCCGGTATCGGCCGCCGCGGCGGGGCTCCCGGAAGAGCTGCGCGGGTCCCGCTTCTCCTGGGGCGGGGCCTGTCCACGTTTCCGCATGCGTCATCAGGAGGCGCCCGTAGGAGTGCTCGCAATTAGACAGCTGGGGCCGAGGCTTGCTGGGATACCGCGGGCCGGTTTCCATAGCAACCGACCGAGATTCACACAGGCCTTCAGCTCGCAGTGAAGGCCCTTGTGTTTTCCTTGTTTTGCAGCCCGCGCGCCTGTTTGCAGCCGCCTCCCCGCGGCGTGAAAGGGGCGAACCCGCAACCCGTCCCCATCCCTGCCCGCTTCAGGAGAGTAATGGAGCCAGCTATAGGTGTGAAAACTCATTTATTACACATTGTAAACGGTAGGCAAATTACCCAGCTCAGCCTATTCAAGGGTACACATCTCAGACTATCAAGCACAGAACCTGCAGACCCTTCCTTTCTCCAAAGCCCCCGAGAAGGAGGCCTAAGACAACCAGAAGTTTAGGTTCCCGTCCCAAAGCTAAGAACTAAATTCAACGTCCTCATCTGATATCTTTACAAAAAGTCCATTTTGTTAAGTACTCAGACTTCTCAGCTGTGCCCCATTCATACTTTGTGCTCTCCTATAGCCCACCCAAAATTGTTAATAATAATAACAACAATAATAACAATAATAATACTGTAATAATATTAATAATACTTCACATTTGTACGAAGCTTACAGAATGTTTTCACATATAGCATCTCATCTGAGCCTCCCAACAGTTCTGTGAGGTAGGTATTCTCACCTCCCTTTTACAGACGGGGTAACTGAGGCTCAGAGAGAGAACAGGATTTGCTCAAGGCCACACAGCTAGTTAGTGGTTAAGCTAGTGGTTAAGCTTGATCCCAGCACCCCATATTCAAGTCCAGTGTTCAAACACCACAGCTACCACTGTAAAGTGGAGTGACATTTCTTACCCAAGTCAGGCCTGAGGGGAGGCCTAAGGAGGGAGGAGGCTGAGACTTCTCAGACTAGGGGAGGGAAGGGCTCAGCAGTGACGTGGGGAGTCAGGGTACTTGGCCTTCAACTCCTGTTTGAACTGACGGTAAAGGATCTTATTGTGCTGATTTTCAGCCTCCTTTTGGGGATGGAATTTCAAAGCTTCTTTGAAGCCCTTATGAACCAGGAAACCTTCGTTCAGCACCTCAAAATCGAATCCGGCCACGTGCAGCTCACAGGCCTGTAGAGGGAGAGACAGGTCAGCAAAGTTTGAAGACATTCCCAGGGCAGAGACTGACATCCCTGCTCACTCCAGCATCCCCATTCCTCTGGAGGCATCCTGGATCTTCCAACCATCCAGCCACCTCCTGAACTATGATCCCTCCTGCCTTATTGCCTCCTTTCCATCCAGGGCCACTCATAGCTCCCTGACTCCACTACCTTTCTTGTCCCATTTCTCCTGCCCTCTCCCTTATGAGCACCTGGCTGATGCGATTGAAGCCATACTGCCGAAAGCGCTCGTCGAAGGTGGGCACTTTGCCTCCTGCCACGTAGAATGGCTCCCAGGGGTCTTGCCAGGGGACTACGTAGGACGGCCTCAGCAAGGTCTCTTCAGGCAGGTTGACCCAGCGGGAGTAGTTGGTGGGCGCCTGGCAAGGTGTGCACAGCCCATAATAGAAGGGCCGCACCTCGCCCACCTGGTAGAGCTGCAGCAGCTCATTTTTGTTGGTGGGCATGCGACGGGCTCGACGGATCTCGAAGGCAGGCACCACCAGGGCTGTGCCAGCCCACTGCTTGCTCTGATCCAGCATTTCCCGCAGGCTTCTCCACAGACCCTCGCTAGGCACCATGTCCACGTCTATCACCAGGGCATAGTTGGCTCCCTCACGAGCCAGATTCCTCAGCAGGTTATTGGGGTAGGAGACATTGGTACCCAGCGCGTAATTGACCCCGGGCTGGGCTACCCTGGCTAGCTTGTCAAAGACCTCCTGGCAGGACCGCAACAGGGCAAACTCCCCTGGCTCCCGGGGGTCAGGCACGGCGGCCTCATAGCGCGAGGGGCACACAAGGTGCATGGCGACCCTGGCGCGCATATCGGGGCAGTGGCTGCTCAGTGCATAGGTCAGCACCGTGGCCAGCTGCGCCTCCTCTTTGGTGGCCGCAAACACCGATACAGATAGGGGGCCCTCCCAGCGCTCCAACAGGCCTGACAGGTGCAGCAGGTTGTCCACACTGGCGTGAGTGGCCAGGATCACATCGTTGGGGTCCATGGTGGTCTTCAGTAGGCCCCTGTAGACGCGGTAGTCGCCGCTAGCGTCCAGGACGCCTCCGGAGGCCAGCGCGGTGCGGAGCTGCGCCTTGACTTGATCCACCGACCGCGGAGACGGGGGGAAGAACTCGAAATATTGGTCTTGCTCGTCCTGTCCGTGCATTCCGGAGAGCAGCGACAGGTAGAGCAGCTGTAGCATCGCCACCAGCATTAGTGCGGCCAGCAGCAGCTGGTAGAATGCGCATCGGATGGCGTAGGACATCTGCATGGCTCTCGGGGCTCAGGATGCGCAGCAGGGACCACACGGCCGCAGACTCTATCGGCAGCCTCAAGCCCGGATTTACCGCAGCCAGCCGAGCGCGGCCGAAGCGAGCCGAGGCGAGCCGAGTTCAGCACGCAGCCCCGCCCACCCGCCAGCCCGCGAGGGCCTAGGGCGTGCCAGCTCGCCCCCTGCTCTCGAGGAGGAGCTACTACACTCTCCGACTGCACCGCGCGCTTTGCAAACGCTGAAAACTGGCCGCTGCCGCGCCGCCGGCCAGCCTGGTTCCCCGGGACATGCACCCCCTCCCTCCATGTCAGCGTGCGACTTCCTGGACCAAGCGTGTCCTGAAAGCCCAGCGCTCTCGCCCCCAACTTAGAGAGGGGAAACTGTGGCAGAGCTCGGCTGCAGTGTGGTGAAGGATCGCTCGGGTTCTCGGCAGTGACAGGCAGGAAAGGAGCACAAAAAGCCTCTTTCCGCGGTGTCTTCCTTCTCTAGGTCTTACCTGGTCTGTACTGAAGAGTGGGCATAAAGTATCCCGGATGGTGGGGAAATAAGAGATAAGGGAATACGGAAGATACAGTTTTTACGTGGGACGAGGTGGCCGAGTGGTTAAGGCGATGGACTGCTAATCCATTGTGCTTTGCACGCGTGGGTTCGAATCCCATCCTCGTCGGTCGTGTTTTATACTGGGCGTGATTCTTCATTTTCCGCGTCCCTCTTGTCTGAAGCGACGGATTGAAGAGAACTGAACAGCCAGCGTGACACAATTCGGCCCAGACTGGGCTTCTCTTCCGTCTTTGTTCAACGCGCATCTCTGACCATTTCGTATCTGAACCGAACCTTCTGGACAAAGTTCGGAGTGTGTTTTTCCTTCTCCCTAGAACGAGGACCCAGGGTTCGGGGCAACCTAAAGACCAGAACCGGAATTCTGGCCAAAGCCAAATTGGGAGCTGATTGTCTGCAGGAATTAGACAAGACCCCCTGGCGGAGCCGCCCTCCCTGCCTAAAGTAGCGGAACTTGGTGGTGGTGGTGATAGTGATGTCTGATTATTTAAATATTACATCTGTTTTATTTTATCTATTAAACTCACTGATTCCCCTCCCTCCAGCACTTCTCCCTGGGCAGAGACCTTGTATGTATCCACTCCTCTGCCTCCCTAACACACACACACAGACACACACAAGCAGAAGGCCCTGAATATCTTAACACCAGCCAACTTACACAGAACATGCTTAATGTGTTTGTGGAATGACTAATTCATGGACTCTAAAAGAGGAGTGGCTGCCGGGAAGAGCAGGTACTTCCATCTGTAATAACTGTTCGAATGCTGTGAATCTTGGGAAGGTGCTTTGGAGAGGACTTCGGATGTCAGGATAAGGTGTTTGTTGGGTACCCCTACAGACAACAGCGTACTAAGGTGGTTGAGTTGAAGAGTGACCAGGAGACCTGTATTTTGCTTCCCCAGTTGTGGAATCTGATGCTGTCTCCAGGTAGTGTCAGAATTGAGCTGCATTGTAGACTTACTGGTGTGGGGAAAAAACACACACACTTCAGAATTGGTGTCAAATCTGTATGTATAGAAATAAAACTGAATTTTGTGTGTTATTCTTGAATCCTGCAACTTTGCTGAATTCATTTATTAGCTCTGTGTGTGTGTGTCTATTCTTCAGGATTTTCTGTATATGTGTATATCATTTGTGATTCTGAATAGTTTTACTTCTTCCTTTTCAATTTGAATGTCTTTTATTTCTCTTTCTTGCCAAGTTGCTCTGGCTAGGACTTCCAGTACAAAGTTGAATAGATGAAATGGTGAAAGCAGGCATCCTTGTCCTTTTCTTGATCTTAGGGGGAAGGCTTTAGTCTTTTACCATTAAGCGTAATGTTAGTTGTGGATTTTTCATAAACACACTTTATCAGATTGAGGAAATTCCCATTTATTCCTTGTTTGTTGAGGGTTTTTTACCTTGAAAGGGTGCTGGATTTTGTCAGATGCTTTTTTCTGCATCAGTTGAGATCATCATGTGGTTTTCCCTCTTCTTTTCATTAATGTGGCATGTTACAGTGGTTGGTTTTTGTGTGTTGAACCGCCTTGCATTCTAGAGTAAATCCCGCTTAGTCATGTTGTAAAATTCTCTTAATATATTGCTGGGTTCAGTCTGCTAGTATTTTGTTGAGGAATTTTGCATCTATACTCATAAGGGATATTGTAGTTTTCTTGTGATGTCTTTTTCTGGCTTTGGCATCCCCATAACGCTGGTCACATAGAATGAGTTAGAAAAGTGTCCTTGCCTCCTGTATTTTTTGAAGCGTTTGAGGATTGGTGTTAGTTCTTTAAATGATTGGTAGAATTCGCCTGTGAGGTCATCTGGTCCTGGAATTTCCTTTTTGGGGAGGTTTTAGATTACTGTTTCAATCTCATTCCTTGTTATAGATGTATTTAGAGTTCCTGTTTCTTCTTTTTATTGATTGTTTCAAAGGACCAGCTTTTTTTTCCCCTAAGTTGTATACATCTTCTGGGACCAAAGTTAAAAAAATGAAAATGCTTCTCTT